GGGTTGATAGTCTTCTGATGATCTTCGTGCGCGGGCGCGGGCGCGCGCGCACACACACACACACACACACACACACACACACACACACACACACACACTCCATCCATCCATCCATCCATCCATCCATCCATCCATCATTTGGATAACGAAGAGGAATCAGCTTTTCAGTAATGTTTGTAAGGCTAGGCATTTGTAGCCGAAAAATTGGATTAATCTAGTTTTTATGTCCTTCCGCGTAAGGAGATTCTCTCCCCCCCCACCCCATTGTTGCATATTCATGCATTGTCAGTCATCTTTAAATAGAATTAATTTCTTTTTTTCCTGTTGAGTGTATGCTGATCCATGCCACCACCTTGGCAGATCTGGCCAAGCTTATTTAAAAGTTTTGTACAGCTGCCCAATTTATGAAATTATGACTCCAAAATTATAAATATGGGAAATTAAGCAGAAAACCACGATTGCATTTTAAAAAACTTAAAATAAAAAGAAATGAAACTTCAACTAAGTAGTTTTTGACTTGGACAGTATATGGATGAGAGACAATGAGGAAATCCCATCGATTAGAGCAGGTAAATGGGGAAGGAAAAAAACCCCTCATTAAGAGTGCAAATTGACTCATGGGAAACAATAATTAATGTTATTTTAATCATTTGATTGACTTAACTCTACATGATCAATTGGCTAAGATTTAATTGGACATCCCTAGTTATTCATAACATTTCCATGATGTCTTCATGGTAAAATAGAGACTTCATCTATCTCATTTATTTTTCTTCTTTCATCCATAGGTTGTCAGCTTGAATATTTTAAAATGTCCTAGTTTTTAACAGTTTATCCTCTAAGGCTGCCAACTTATTTTTTTGGTTGCTGAATAAGAGAAAAAAGGGATTTCATAGGTTAAATACTATATATAGAAGCCATAGCAGGTAGCAACCACCAAACAATTCACATTGCCATTTTAGTAAAACTTGTAATACTAAAATATATCTTTTTTCAAAATAGTATATGGTGTAATGAACTAATAAGTGGAGGACAAAGAGGATTGTTTCTCATTTCAAACTCCAAAACTTTGAGATATACATTTGGGGATATAGCAAGTCAAATAACTTTGTTTGCATTTATTCAAATATTTATAGCAATAGCAATAGCAGTAGACTTATATACCGCTTCATAGGCCTTTCAGGCCTCTCTAAGCGGTTTACAGAGAGTCAGCATATTGCCNTGGAGTTTTGTAATTGGTCTAAGCTGGTGGTATCACTTTAACACCGATAGACTTCCCACCATGTTGTAGTGACTATAAAGTTCTTGGCAGGAATTGTGTGCCAAAAGAGACCCCAACAAATGGGGCAATTTTGTCAGAGTCATATAAAAGCTTGTTGGAAGAATAGAGTCAACAGACCAAGGAATCCTTTAACATGATTTGTTGGAAAAATTATCCAATAGAAGTTTCGGATGAATCAAATACCCACATAACACGGACTAGATTGCAATTAGCAAGTGATCTAAAGTATTTAAGAACATTTAATGACATCTTCCAAAGTATCTCAAAAGAGGAGGGTGGGAATTCTCTGAAAGCAGTAACTGACATCTAATTAACCATCACTCCTCTTAAGATACAACAGATATAATGCATATGGTGTATAACATTTGCTGAATGCCATCCCCGGGTTGTGTGATAGCACAAAATATGAACAATGCTTGGGTAAAAGGTTTTTTAAATTTAATAAATTAGGATTTAAAAAACAACAACATAGCATTCCAGCGTAGACATCTATTCAATCTGCTGGAATCAGAAATGAAAAGATAATCTGTTTTCTGAAACAAAGGAGCAGCAGGGAAAGAGGCTCTTCTTATACTTTCAAAACATTTTCCGATAGCAGAAGAGGATAAAGTTGGAAAGTGTTCATGCATA